GATTTTTTTACTATTATTTTTTTTCTAAATTTAAACAAAAGACTTAAGTCACAAACTTTAGGATTTTTTTTGCGATTTTTTTTTTCAAAGAAAATTCCTAGAAAAAAATAGTATTTTTAGATTCCCTTGATTTTTTTCTCACTTCCTTTGTTGTTTCTTTTCCTATGATTTTTTATTTATTTTTTTCTTCTTCTTCTTCTTGTTAAATACAATGAAGATCTACCATTGTTATTTGCTAAAAAAAACATTAAAGTTCCTTACGCTGGCAATAATATATATTAAGGATAATTTGTTTTAATGTTATGACTTTAACTATTTACAGCCTATTATGGTAGTTGGAAAATTTTGCGGAACGTTCTACTATGCCCTGTTTGTGTGTATGTCTTTTGGGGCCGAGACGTATTCTTGTTTTCAAAGCCTAAGGGCAAATTTTATTGGTTGGTCTCGATGTTATGGAGCTTTTAAAAATAGAGAGAAGGAGTGAGAGAGGTAGGGATGAGGGTAGAGCGATCGAAAAATACCTTAACACATTAATTAAATTCAGTCAGTGAGTCAGTCAATTGTTCCGTCACTTGGTATTAAAGTGAAATAATGCCAAGAGATTTTTTTTCTATGGCAGGGCAACATTTCAGTACAAATGGCCGTATAAATTTCATTTCATAAAAATAGCATCTAAGAGGTCGTCAATTGTTAGTAAAGTTAGAGAAAGATTTTATTTTTATTATCTTTTATTAATTGCCATGCTTTCGGATGTCAGTGGAGATTTGTAAAAATGCCACTTTACTGTGTCTAGCTTCATTATTATTACAATTTTTTTCGTTCTCTGGATTTCTGCATCTATTTATAAGTTAAAGAGGATGTTTGGTTGTTCTTCTTAGGCCTTTACGGCAGCTTCTAAGGCTGTCATCATCACCTAGCTGATGGTGGATTATTTTTATTTTATTTTTTTTTTCTACCTAGAGCTTTGGTGCCAAGGAAGGCATTCACATGTCGCTATGGGTTGATAAGAAGTAACAGATGCCGAAGTAGAAGAAGAAAAATTTTCTTGGGCCTCCATACACACACACACTCACACATATATAATTTATTGTATTTATTGTTTTAAGTGGTTGTCAGGTTTCCAGATTTTTTATCGTATGCCGCTGTTTGGAACAACAACAGGTGTTAAATGACAGAGATTGCAATACATTATTAGCATAATTAGTAGAAAAAAATTGACAGGCATTTTTCCTATAGAGAAAAAAATCCTCAGGACCCCAGTCGAGACTTCTAAATCGATTATTTTCTATGGAAAAAATTCTCAGGGCATCAGATCCATTTTTTTTCTATAAAAAAAAAATTTCGTAGCGGCAGGGCCAAAAATAAAATTGACAGACATTTTTTTCTATAGAAAAAAATCCTCAGGACCCAAGTCGAGACTTCTAATCCGATTTTTTTCTATGGAAAAAATTCTCAGGGTATCAGGTCCAATTTTTTTCTATAGAAAAATCTCATAGCGGCAGGTCCATTTTTTTTATAGAAAAAAAATTGCATGACCCCTGTGAGGTGCCAGGTCCGCCATTTTTTTATAATAACTTCTCAAGAACCCTGTTTGCAATTTTCTCCACCAAAAATTCTTCAGGAAACCTGATTACGATTTTCCTATACAAAAAAAATTCTCAGGAGCGAAACAAACCTCAGTTAAAAAATGTTTCTATAGAAAAAATTCTTAAAAAACCCAGTTCCACATTTTTTTCTTTTGAGAAAAAAATTTCCGAATCTTAGTTCAAAAAATTTTCTATACAAAAACATCCAAAAAACCATAGTTTGCAACTTTTTCCTATAAAAAAAATTATCGCAAACCCCTGGAATTTTTTTTCTATAGAAGAAAAAAATATCTTCTTCTTTTGATCTCACCTCCCATTACAGAAAAAAAATCTCATTTCAATAATTTAAATGCAAAAAAAAACAACAACAACAACAAAAATACAACACACACCACAAAAATTAGTTTCTGAACTCAAGCAGAAACTATTTTATGCTACAATAATTTTTCCAGACAGCAGATAAGCAGAGCTCCCTCATTTTAATATGGCAAAACGGCGTGGAAATTTCAAATCACCGCCTAGAGTGTCTCAATTTAAATTGTAAAACAATTCTAGGAAAAAAAAGAAAAATAATAAAATCAAAAGAAAAATTTTATGATAAAAATACTCAGGCGAACAGATACACACACACACACACTCGTACACAAATAATATATCTAGCTGTAATAGAATGATACCGTTTTTTTTTTGTTTATAGATCTGGTAATTTGATAAGGTTTAGTTGGGAATGGGTTACAATTTTTTTTTGTTACGCTATTCTTGCGTATAATTGCCGGTATTTTGTTGAACATATAATAATACCTCATAAGGGGGCAATGATGATATGGGAGGGAAAAATAAGAAATAAAAATATTTATTTATTTATTTTTTTTATTTAAAAATTTTTTTAATATTTTTCCTTTGTATTTAAAAAAATAAAAATTTTTTATATTATCATCTGTCATTCTTAAATATATTTTTTTTTTTTAAAAAAAAATTTTCCCTTTGAATAGTAATACAAATAATTTTTTTATATTATTATCTTTCATTAAAAATATTTTTTTATTAATTATCTGAAGAAAAAAATTAACTTGGAAATTATGAAATAAATATTTTTTTTTTATTTTCCAATTTTCCCTTTAGTGTAATAAAAAAAATAATTTTTAAAATTATTCACAGCCCTTAAAAAATATTAATTTTCACAAATTCCAACCATTTTTCCATTAAAAACTTAAATAAATCATTAAAATGGCCGAATAATACAAAAGACTTAAGCAACAAGCGTGATTTACCATTATCACTGCTTTACAACGAGTTTCCAACAAGAATTCTCTTGCACATGCCCGTTAAATGCATTACACGCTCTCTCTCACACACACCCATTAACGGAATGCCGAATATAAACAATGCATCCAATTAGGAATTATGAAATATTTTTTTTTATTTTTAATTTTTTTCCTTTATAATTAAAAAAAAATAATTTTTTAAATTTTTCCCAGCCTTTGAAAAATATTAATTTTCACAAATTCCAACCATTTTTCCATTAAAAAATCAATTAAATCATTAAAATAGCCAAATAATACAAAAGACTTAAGCAACAAGCGTGATTTTCCATTATCTCTGCTTTACCATGAGTTTCCAACAAGAATTCTCTTGCACATACTCGCCAAATGCATTACTCGCACTCTCTCTCACACACACCCATTAACGGAATGCTGAATGTAAACAATGCATCCAATTAAAAATTACGAACTATTTTTTTTTTTTAATTTTCCAATTTTCCCTTTTGTGTAATAAAAAAAATAATTTTTTAAATTATTCACAGCCCTTAAAAAATATTAATTTTATTAAATTCTGCTCATTTTTCCATTAAAACTTAAATAAATCATTTAAATACGCAAATAATACAAAAGACTTAAGTAACAAACGTGATTTACCATTATCACTGCTTTACAACGGGTTTCCAACAAGAATTCTCTTGCACAGACTCGTTAAATACATTACTCGCTCTCCCTCTCTCTCGCTCACACACAGTAACGGAATGACGAATGTAAACAAAACAATCAATTAGACTTAAGCAACAAACTTGCTATGGGGTTTCATCATATGTAGTAATAAAGCCGTTATAAAGAGAGCTCTCTTCTCATTACAGTGGGATGCTCTCTTCTCTCGCTTAATCGCAAGGTAAACGTAAACAATGTAAACAATGCATTTAATTAGACTTAAGCAACAAACTTGTTATGGGGTCTCATCACTAGAATTAATGTGTCCGTTATAAAGAGAGTTCACTTCTCATTACAGTGGGAGGCTCTCTTCTCTCGCTTAATCGTAAGAGACATAGGGGATTTTGTTATTATCTCCATTGTAAGGCATAAAAACGAGATTTTCAAAGGAAAAAAAATTACGCCTTAAAATAAAAGGAGGCGTTTGAATTCATATTTTTTGGAATTTTTTTTTTTATTATTTAAGAAATTTTTTTGGCTCCTTATAAATATTTATAAAAAAATATAACCTCAAAGTTGCAACATTTTTTTCCATTTATTTTTTTTTTCTTGTTGTTCTGGTTGACCCTATGCCTGAACTTTTAAGTGTCAAGGTGTTTCTATTGTTCTTTATATCTTTCTTTTTTTGTAAATAAATGGCAATGCTGCCTGCCTGGTCATGTTTTGTTGTCCAAAGACAATTTTATGAAACTTTTCTTAGGCTTCGAAAAAATAAAAACTCCAAGTGAAGTTCAGCAGAACTTATTGCCGGAAGGCCAGCAGCAAATGACAGTGATATGAACAGCAATGTTGATAGAGCAAAAAAGAGAGAAAGAAAAAAATGTTGAACATTTGTTATATTGTTTTTGTTGCTTGACCATCTGACTCTTTTCCGCAAAGACTTGGCTGCAATTTGCCACATAAGTCATAGCGAAAGACTGCTGTGGCATTCGATATTATTGTAAATTGTTTGTTGTCATTGTTGCTGTTGTTGTTGCTGCCGGTAAATAATAATAATAGACAATGTTGTGGTTAAATCGGTTTTTTCTGTAACGGCACAAATGGCGGATTTTTTTATTTATAAGAAAGCAAGATTTATTGAAGGGGAGATATTTTTAGGAAGTCTATTAGAGCTTTAAAATATTAAAACTAAAGGTTCCGATAATTTTTTTAAAGAAAAAAATGAAAAATAGAGCTGCGAGAATGTTTTTCTATAGAGAAAATGCGGAACTGAGGCAGCTAGAATTTTTTTCCATTACGGGAATTTATTCCTCTCTTTATTAGTTAAAAAAAATCTCTTAATACCTTCTCTTCTAATGACAATCTCCTCTCTTCTCTTTTCATTTTCAGATGCGACTGAATTCTACAAAACAACAACAACAGAAAATATCCAAAAAACAACACAACAACTCTAGCATCATGAGTCTCTCCACCAGTAGCACCTCCGCCACCACCACCACCAGTATTGTCATAGCCACATGCCTGCTCCTCATTGCCTTGCCCACACCAGCGGCAGCCCGCATGGCCTTTGAAAAACTGACAGATTACGACTTTGCCGGTACGACCTATTACAGTGTTAAGAATCTCTCCCTATACGAATGTCAGGGCTGGTGTCGTGAGGAAGCCGATTGTCAAGCTGCTGCCTTTAGTTTTGTCGTCAATCCCCTGTCACCTTCACAGGAAACCCACTGCCAATTGCAAAATGACTCATCGGCCCATAACCCTTCAGCGGCTCCACAGCGTTCCGCCAACATGTATTACATGGTGAAACTGCAGTTGCGCAGTGAAAATGTCTGCCATCGACCATGGTCCTTCGAACGGGTACCGAATAAGGTTATCCGTGGTAATGACAATGCCCTGATCTACACGAGCACCAAGGAAGCATGTCTCTCGGCCTGTTTGAATGAGAAGAGATTCGTGTGCCGTTCGGTGGAATACGATTACAATAGCATGAAGTGTGTCCTCTCCGATGCTGATCGTCGTAGTGGTGGACAATTTGTTCAGTTGGCTGATGCCCAGGGTACAGATTATTTTGAGAACTTGTGTTTGAAGCCCCAACAGGCCTGTAAATCCACACGGTCCTTTGCCAATGCCAGAGTGGGAGTTTCGGAGGAGAAGGTAGCCCAATATGTTGGCCTCCACTACTACACCGACAAGGAATTACAAGTCACTTCGGAATCAGCCTGTCGTCTGGCCTGTGAAATTGAATCGGAATTCTTGTGCCGCTCCTTCTTGTATCTGGGTCAGCCTCAGGGTGCCCAATATAACTGCCGTTTGTATCATTTGGATCACAAGACCCTGCCCGATGGTCCCTCAACCTATTTGAATCATGAACGTCCCTTGATCGATCACGGTGAACCCATTGGACAATATTTCGAAAACATTTGCGATAAATCGGCAGCTCCATCGGCCATTTCCACCAGCCCTGGACCATTGGATCAATTGGATCAACAAGATAGCCTGTTGAGTGTACAAGAGGATCCCGCCTTGAATATTACCCGCAATGATGTGAATTGTGATAAGACCGGTACCTGTTATGATGGTGAGTAAGGATTTAAATTCTGAAAAAAAAAAATCGGAAATAGGGCCCCCGAAAAATATTCCATTAAAAAAATCGGAACTAGGGTCCCGGGAAATTTTTTTTCTATAGAAAAAAATCGGAATTATAGTCTCGAAATTTTTTTCTATAGAAAAAATTTGGAAATAGGATCCGGCGATTTTTTCTCTATAGAAAAAAACGGAACTAGGGTCCCGAGAATTTTTTTCTATAGAAAAAAATCGGAATTATGGTCCGGAGAATTTTTTCCTATAGAAAAAAATCGTTCGGTGGACCCAAGAATTTTTTTCTATAGAAAAAAATCGAAACTAGGGTCCCGAGAATTTTTTTTCTGTAAAAAAATCGAAACTAGGGTCCCGACAATTTTTTTCTATAGAAAAAAATCGGAACTAGGGTCCCGAGAATTTTTTTCTATAGAAAAAAATCGGAAATAGGGTCCCGAGAATTTTTTTCTATAGAAAAAAATCGGAACTAGGGTCCCGAGAATTTTTTTCTATAGAAAAAAATCGGAACTGGGGTCCCGAGAAATTTTTTCTATAGATAAAACATTGGAACTAGGGTCCCATGATTTTTTTCTTTAAAAAAAAATCCGAACAAGGGTCCCGAGAATTTTTTTCTATAGAAACAACAACGGAACTAGGGTCCGGAGAATTTTTTTCTATAGAAACAACAACGGAACTAAGGTCCCCAGAATTTTTTTCTATAGAAAAAACAACGGAACTAGGGTCCCGAGAATTTTTTTCTGTAGAAAAAATCGGAACTAGCGTACAGTGAATTTTTTTCTATAAAAAAACAACGGAAATAGGGTCCCGACAATTTTTTCTATAGAAAAAAAATCGGGTCCCGAGAAAAAAATCGGAACTAGGGTCCCGAGAATTTTTTTCTATAGAAATAAAATTCGGAACAAGGGTGTTCAGATTTTTTTTTAATTTAAAAAAATCGGAGCTAGGGTCCCGAGAATTTTTTCTATAGAAAAAAATCGGAACAAGGGCCTTGAGATTTTTTTTATTAAAAAAATCCGAACTATTGTCCCCAGTATTTTTTTCTATAGAAAAAAAATCTGAACTATTGTCCCGAGAATTTTTTTTCTATAGAAAAAAATCGGAACAAGGGCCTTGAGATTTTTTTTTATTAAAAAAATCGGAACTATGGTCCTGAGAATTTTTGCCATTAAACAAATTGGGAACTAGGGTTCATTTTTTTTCTAAAAAAAATTGGAAATTGGATCCCTAGAATTTTTTCCGAACTTGGGTCCCGAGATTTTTTTTTTGATCCTTTACCTTCCCATTTAAATTTTATTTTGTCTCTCCTTTCCAGTCTCCGTCCACTGCAAGGATACCCGCATTGCCGTCCAAGTCCGCACCAACAAACCCTTCAACGGACGTATCTATGCCTTGGGCCGTTCCGAAACCTGTAACATTGATGTCATCAATTCCGATTCGTTCCGTTTGGATTTGACCATGGCCGGACAGGATTGTAATACCCAGAGTGTGGTAAGTACATTAAAATTTTTCTCCGAAGTTTTTTTCCGATTTAAAAAAAATTCTCCCGTTTTTTTCAGACCGGTGTCTATTCGAATACCGTTGTCCTGCAACATCACAGCGTTGTCATGACCAAGGCCGATAAAATCTACAAGGTCAAGTGTACCTATGACATGAGCTCCAAGAACATTACCTTCGGCATGATGCCCATCCGTGATCCTGAAATGATTCACATCAACTCGTCGCCTGAGGCTCCACCACCAAGAATTCGCATTTTGGATACCCGCCAACGTGAAGTGGAGACTGTGCGCATTGGTGATCGTCTGAACTTCCGCATTGAAATTCCCGAAGATAGTAAGTATCGGAAAGAGGAGAGGTTTTTGAGGAGGTTATTAATGGATTTTTTTTTTAATTTTCCTTTCAGCTCCCTATGGCATTTTCGCCCGCTCCTGTGTTGCCATGGCCAAGGATGCCCGCACCAGTTTCAAAATCATCGATGACGATGGCTGTCCCACCGATCCCACCATCTTCCCGGGCTTCACAGCCGACGGCAATGCCCTGCAATCGACCTATGAAGCTTTCCGTTTCACCGAAAGCTATGGCGTCATCTTCCAGTGCAATGTCAAGTACTGCTTGGGTCCATGCGAACCGGCTGTGTGCGAATGGAATATGGAATCGTTTGAAAGCTTGGGCAGAAGACGTCGTCGTTCCGTGGAAAGGTAAGGGAGAATAAATTTTTTAAATAAGAAATATTAAAAAAATATATTTTTAGTACTAAAAATTAAAAAAAAATTTACTAAAAATTTTTAGTACCAAATATTAAAAAAAATATTTTAGTACTAAAAATTTTTAGTACTAAAAATTAAAAAGGTTTATTTGAATAAACACTTTTAAGTACTAAAAATAAAAAAAAATTGTACTAAAAATTTTTAAAGGAAACATTTTTAGTACAAAATATTAAAAAATTAATTTTTTAGTACTAAAAATTAAAAAGGTATATATTTTTTAGTACCAAATATTAAAAAATTAATTTTGTCGTACTAAAAATTTTTTAAAAGAATATTTTTAGTACTTAAGACTGGGTACTAAAAGTGAATTTAAAAAGATTTTTAAGTACTAAAAATAGATTTGAATACACATTTTTTAGTACTAAAAACTAATTTTTAAAATTTTTAGGTACTAAAAACACAGTTAAAATTTTTTTAAGTACTAAAAATTTATCTAAATTTTTTTGTACTAAAAATTTATTAAAATTTTTTTTGTTACCAAAAATTTATTTTAAAAAATTATTATGTACTAAAAATTAAATTATATTAATTTTTTAGGTACTAAAAATTAATTTAAACAAAATTTTAGGTACTAAAAATTAATTAAACCCGTTTTTAGGTACTAAAAATTAAAAATTGTTGAGTACTAAAAATTATTGATGTACTAAAAATTAATTTAAACACTTTTAAGGTACTAAACGATTATTAAAAATTAGTTTAGGTACTAAAAATGAATTTAAAAAAATTTAGGTACTAAAAATTAATTAAAAAAAATATTTTCAATATTTATTTTTTTATTAAATTTAAAATTAAAAAAAAAATTTAGTACTAAAAATTAAAAAAAGTATATATTTTTTAGTACTAAATATTTAAAAAATATGTATTTTTTTTAATTACTAAAAATTTTTAATAAAACATATTTTTAGTACAAAATATTAAAAAAAAAATTTTTTTTAATACTAAAATTTAAAAAATATATATTAATTTTTAGTACTAAAAATTTTTAATAAAATATATTATTAATAAAATATGTACTAAAAATTAATTAAAAAAAATTTTAGCTACTAAAAATTAATTTAAACAAAATTTTAGGTACTAAAAATTAATTTAAAACCGTTTTTAGGTACTAAAAGTTGTTGAGTACTAAAAATTATTGATGTACTAAAACTTAATTTCAAAAACGTTTTAGGTACTAAAAAATTATTAAAAATTAGTTTAGGTACTAAAAATGAATTAAAAAAAATTTTAGTACTAAAAATTAATTAAAAAAAATATTTTTAATATTTATTTTTTTAATTTAATTTCCAATATTTAAATTTAATTTCTATTTCCTCCCCCCTTAGCAATGACACCAAGGAAGCCGATGAGGATATGAACATTTCCCAGGAGATTTTAGTTTTAGATTTCGGTGATGAGAAACGTGAATTTTTCAAATCGGATCCCAGCACAGATTTTGCTAAAGGTACATAGATCCGACATCCGTCACACACACATATATAACCAAACCCGATGCTAATAACCAAATTTGAAATTCCTTTATTTTCTATTTTTAGATAAGACTGTCACTATCATTGAACCCTGCCCCACTAAAACTTCCGTCTTGGCTTTGGCCGTTACCTGTGCTCTCATGATTTTATTGTATATTTCCACTTTGTTTGTGTACTATATGAAAAAATGGATGCAACCCCATAAAATTGTAGCATAAGTAAGCAAAAGCAACAACAACAACAAAAACAAAACAATAATAAGCACACACCAACAACAACAACCAACCACCACCTAGTGAAAAGAAAAGCAATACACACACAGCTACACATGCCTAACACATAGCTAGACACACACACATACATACAAAAAAATCCTAAAAAATTACGGTAATTAGTTTTAGAGAAACAAAAAATCAAGTAAATTAAGCTTTTACTTGGTTTTTATAAATTAAAAAAATTATTTTTAGTAATAAGCTTTTTTATAAATTTTATTATAAAACCAGCAACAAGAACAACAACAACGGATACAACTTAAGCCCTATGATGCAAAAAACGAAAAAAAGAAGAAGAAATTATCTTTAAAAACGAAAAAACCTAGTTAGAAAGCTTTTTCGAAAAAAGCTCCTCAAAAGCTTTCGACTATTTTTTAATTTTAAAATTTTCTATAATTAATTTCATTCTTAAAAACCAAACTGCGACGTAAGCTTTTAGTATATTTTCGCCAATAGAAAGCTTTTAAGGAAAGCTTGGAGGGTTTTAAATTTCACAAGGGAAGCTCCAAAAGTTCCATAGTAAACAGTTTTTTTTTTGGAATAAAAAAATATATGCAAAAAATTTAAAAAATCGTAATTTTTGGTTCAAATATCAATTTTGGCAGAATTTCGACAAAAAATGAATATTAGACCAAAAAATGGGTATATATCGGTAAAAAGCTCTGAAATATTTAAAAGCTCTTTAGTACAAAAAATTTTTAAAATTATATTATTTTTTTCAAATTTCAATTTTGGGAGAATTTTAAGCATATTAGACCAAAAAATGGGTATATATAGATGAAAAGCTTTAATTTTCTGTAAAAGCTCTTTGGCAATTTTTTTAAAAAATCAACAAATTTCTTTTGAAGAACTAAATATATTCTTCAGAAATTGTGAATATTGGGCAAAAAAAAATAGATATATAAAGGTAAAAAGCTCTGAAATATTCAAAGCTCTTTAGTAAAAAAAATTGAAAAAAAATCATAATTTTTGCTTCAAATTTCAACTTTGGAAGAATTTTAACTATATTAGACCAAAAATGGGTATACGAAGATGAAAAGCTTTAATTTTCGGTAAAAGCTCTTTGGTAATTTGTTAACAAAAAATCACCAATTTTTTTCAAATTTACAGTTCAATTGGAAATTTAACCCATAAAATATGTTATTTTTTTCATTTTTTCGAAAGTTTTTTTAAAAGCTCAAAATTTTCGTGGAAAGCTCTTTGCCAACAAAATTTAAAAAATCGTAAAAATCCATAATTTTTTTTTCTAAGGACTAGCTAAGTAAATTAGCTTACAAAAATTTTATTTGTCAAACTTCAAAAAATATCTACTAAAAGCTCTTTACAAAAAAGTGATTTTCTTTGAAAGCTCTGTGGCAGAAAATGATGGCAAAAATATAATATCAGGGTCATTGAAATTTGCAAAGGCTTCTTTCCTGCAAAATGTATATTTTTTTGGAGAAAAACATTTTGTTTGAAAAAAGCTTTTTTAGAAAAATATCGTTTTAAAAGCTCTGAAGAGTAAAAAATTATAAATAGAAAAGCTTTATTTTTTAAAGATTTATCTTCCCGCAAAATGTTGATTCTTTTGAAAAAGCTCTTTGGAAAAAATCAAATTTTTTTGAAAAAGCTCTTTTTTTTTGAAATATAGAATTTTTAAAGCTCTAGAGTATAAAAATGTATAGATACTGTACAAGGAGTCATTTTAATTTTGAAAGACTAATTTCCTGCAAAATTTCAATTTTTTGAAAAAGCTCTTTGGAAAAAAGTTTACTTTAAAAGCTTTGGTGCATTAAAAAATTATAAAAAACGCAGTACTTTTACCATTTTATTTTTTAAAGGCATCTTTTCCATGAAATTTCAATTTTTTTTGAAAAAGCTTTTTGAAAAAAATCAATTCTTTATGAAAAAAGCTCTTTTTTGAAATATATTATTTTTAAAGCTCTGGAGTATAAATAACTATTTTAAGGTTTCCTCCTGCAAAATTTAAATTTTTTTGAAAAAGCTCTTTGGGAAAAAGTTTACTTTAAAAGCTCAGAAGCACTTGAGCTATTTTAAGGCTTCCTCCTGCAAAGCTCTGGCTATAAAAATCACAAAATTTGCTTTGCCGTATCAAAATAACTGTATTAATGTGCTTTGGAGAATTACTAATCAAAAGTTTTGTAAAAGCTCTTTAAGTTTTTATTTCTATTTGAAAGCTCTGCGGCCTAAAATCGCCGCTAAACCTATCAGTACATAAGAAATTGCCTTGTTGGGAAGTAAATTTTTTTAGAAAATTTGTTTTCCAAAAAAAGCTTTTGCAAAAGCTTTCTTATTTTGAAAGCTCTGACATATAAAATAATCACCAAATTTGCTTTGCCGTATCAAAATAACTGCATTAATGTGCTTTGGAGAATTACTAATCAGACGTTTTGTAAAAGCTCTTTATGTTTTTATTTTTATTTGAAAGCTCTACGGCCTAAAATCGTCGCTAAACCTATCAGTACATAAGAAATTGCCTTGTTGGGAAGTAAAAATCTTAGAAAAAATGTTTGCGAAAAAAGCTTTTGCAAAAGCTTTATATAAATAGTCTTTCCAGAGCTTTGAAACGAAAATTGCCTTGTTGGGAAGTAAAATTTTTAGAAAAATTGTTTTCCAAAAAAAAGCTTTTTCAAAAGCTTTATAAAATTTTCCTTCAAAAGCTTTGAAACTTTAAAGAAATGTTTTTTTCTTTTATAAGAAAACGATTTTTTAGTCCTTTTAAAAAAGCTCATTTTAAAGCTTTCACATATTTTTGATTTTTTTTAATCCAAAGCTTTTTTGATATGTTTTTCCTTGTCACCATCCCTCCAAGTCTGTCCCTAGGTTTCCAAGAAATTTATCTAAAAGCTTATTTCATTCTATAAACTTTATCTAAGCTTTTTCTTCAAACACAGACACACAAAAAGCTATTTAAAGTTTCCTCTCAAAAAAACAGGCCTTTAAATTTAATATATTTTTTTATTTTATTTTATTTATTCAAACAAACTACTGCCTATTTTATTTAGAAAAAAAAAATAATCACTTTCTATGAAGTTTTAAAATTAAAAAATTTTAATAAATTTTTTTTAAATATTTTTTTTTAATAAATTTAAAAAAAAGACCCCGAAATTTTAAAACTTCCATAGAGACTGGTTAAAAATAATGAATTTCTAAAAAAAAACTCTATTCCTATGACAACAACAAAAAAAACCAACACAACTATTTTACTTATTTATTTATTTAAAAAAAAAATACCTAAATTCTTTAAGACTCTAATTTATAAAAAATTTAAAAAAAATTCTTAAAACTATATTTATTATTAATTCTATAATTTAAAGAAATGAAAAAAAAATAATTTTTTTGAAAAATAAAATTGTGCTTAATTTTTATTGCATTTAAACAACAAAAACAAAAATATACAAAAAATTGAAAATTATTTAAAAAAAAATATTTTTTTTTAGAATTTAAGCAACACAAACCAGAAATAAATAATAAATAAAATTAAAAAAACAAATTCCAGCATTTATATTAGCAACAATTTCCAATTTTAATTTTAAATAAATTTTAATTTTTAGTTATTTGTAAATAAGCAGCAGAATTTTTGTGCAAATAAAAACAACAACAATCTTAATAATAATTAAAAAAAAAAAAACAAAATATATTAGTTTTTTCTGGCTAATTACAAAAACAAACAACTACAACAAAATATTACTTTGTAATGATAATTGTAATAATTAACAACAACAAAAAAAGAGAATGCATTTAAAAATCTTTTCTAAATAAAAATTATATATTAAAAAAAACAACAACAACAAATGAGTTTTTAATTTTTACGAAACTTGACACACACCTTTCTAGACCTAATTCAGTACCCTATGCCAAATTTCGTGTAAATCGAAGGATATAAAGGGACTTTGGTGCCCCATTTACCTTACATCGGACAAAACTATATATGGGAGCTATATCTAAATCCGAACCGATTTTCACGAAACTTAACACACATCTTTCTAGAATTAATTCAGTACACTGTGCCAAATTTCGTGCAAATCGAATGATATATAGGGACATTGGTGCACCATTTTCATAAAATCGAACAAAATTATATACGGGAGCTATATCTAAATCTGAACCGATATTTTCGAAACTTGGCAGACATCACTCTAGGCATAATTGAGTACGTTATGCCAAATTTCGTGCAAATCGAATGACATATAGGGTCTTTGGTGCACCATTTACCTAAAATCGGACGAAAATATATATGGGAGCTATATCTAAATCTGAACCGATTTCCATGAAACTTAACACAAATCATTTTAGACTTAATTCAGTACCCTATGCAAAATTTCATGTAAATCGAAATATATATAGGGACTTTGGTGCCCCATTTACATTAAATCGGACGAAAATATATATATATGGAAGCTATATCTAAATCTTAACCGATTTTCAGAAAACTTAACACACATCATGTAAGACTCAATTCAGTACGCTATGCTAAATTTCGTGTAAATCGAAATATATATAGGGACTTTGGTGCCCCATTTACATAAAATCAGAAGAAAATATATATAGGAGCTATATCTAAATCTGAACCGATTTTCATGAAACTTCACACACATCACTCTAGACTCAATTCAGTACCCTATGCAAAATTTCGTGCAAATCGAAATATAAATAGGGACTTTGGTGCACCATTTACCTCAAATCGGACGAAAATATATATGGGAGCTATATCTAAATCTGAACCGATTTTCATGAAACTTGAAACACACCTTTCTAGACCTAATTCAGTACCCTATGCCAAATTTCGTGTAAATCGAAGGATATAAAGGGACTTTGGTGCAACATTTACCTTAAATCGGACGAAAATATATATGGGAGCTATATCTAAATCTGAACCAATTTTCAGGAAACTTAACACACATCTTTCTAGACCTTAATCTGTACGCTGTGCCAAATTTCGAGCA